ATATGAATTGTTCTTATATGGGTATATGTATGATACTTATATGGGTATGAGTTTGGTACTCATATGGGTATTAGTTTGGTACTTATGTACTTACGTACCTGTATGGTACATACGTACCTTTTACCTTACACAGACAGTCATCCTTATTTTATAGATATAGAAGATAGACAATGATTAAATCAAGTAATAAAAACATGACTAGCGGACGAAGACAAAGATGGGGTACATACAGCCCGCCGCCTGCAAAGAATCCCAGCCCTGGCGAAATCGTCATTTTTCACAAAACTCAAAATCAAAACCAGCCATAGAATCGTTTTGAAAATGGTACCATTGTGTTTACCACAGCAATTTACATTTCTTTCTGTTAAGTCTTTCTTTGCTAATTTTAAATATTAACGCCTATACAGCCATATTTACTGAGATACAGCCACCTCAAATATCAAACCTATCATCGTGTTTTCTCAACAAATTACTAAGGAAAATCAGTTGTAAAAAATGTAATAATAATCAAAATGAGCTAAATAATAAATGGATAATCAAAATAACATTATATCTATATTCCTCATGTATTTAGAGACTACTATGCATGGTGCGTATATGGGCATATGTATGCTACTTATATAGGCATTTGTATGGTACTTATATTGGCATATGAATGGTACTTATATGGGCAAGTATGGTACTTATAAGGGCATATGTATGGTAGTTAAAAGGATATATGTATGATAGATATAAAAACATATATATTGTTCTTATAAGGGCATAAGTATGGTACGTATTTTGGCATATGTATGTTGCTTATAAGAACTTTTGTATGGTACCTCAATGGGCATATATATTGTTCTTATATGGGCATATGTATGACACTTATATGGGCATGAGTATGGTACATATATGGATATGTATTTGGTACTTATGTACATACGTACCTCTATGATACTTTAGTACCTTTTACCTTAGACAGACAGTCATCCTTATTTTATAGATATAGAAGATAGGCAATGATTAAATCAAGTAATAAAAACTTGACCAGCGGACGAATACAAAGATGGGGTACATACAGCCCGCCGCCTGCAAAGAATCCCAGCCCCGGCGAAATCGTCATTTTTCACAAAACTCAAAATCAAAACCAGCCATAGAATCGTTTTGAAAATGGTACCATTGTGTTTACCACAACAATTTACATTTCTTTCTGTTAAGTCTTTCTTTGCTAATTTTAAATATTAAGGCCTATGCAGCCATATTTACTGAGATACAGCCTTTTCAAATATCAAACTTGTCATCGTGTTTTCTCAACAAATTACTAAGGAAAATGAATTGTAAAAAATGTAATAATAATTATAATGAGCTAAATAATAAATGGATAATCAAAATAATATTATATCTATATTCCTAATATACGTAGACACTACTATGCATGGTATGTATATGGGCATATGTATGCTACTAATATAGGCATAAGTATTGTACTTATATTGGCATATTAATGGTACTTATATGGGCGTGTATGGTACTTAAAAGGGCATATGTATTGAAATTATAGGGGCGTATGTATGATACTTATAAGGACATATGTATTGTACTTATAAGGGCATAAGTATGGCACCTATTAGGGCATTTGTATGTTACTTATAAGAGATTTTGTATGGTACCTCAATGGGCATATGTATTGTTCTTATATGGGCATATGTATGACACTTATATGGGCATGAGTATGGTACCTATATGGGTATGTGTTTGGTACTTATGTACTTACGTACCTCTATGGTACTTACGTACCTTTTACCTTACACAGACAGTCATCCTTATTTTATAGATATAGAAGATAGACAATGATTAAATCAAGTAATAAAAACTTGACCAGCGGACGAAGACAAAGATGGGGTACATACAGCCCGCCGCCTGCAAAGAATCCCAGCCCTGGCGAAATCGTCATTTTTCACAAAACTCAAAATCAAAACCAGCCATAGAATCGTTTTGAAAATGGTACCATTGTGTTTACCACAGCAATTTACATTTCTTTCTGTTAAGTCTTTCTTTGCTAATTTTAAATATTAACGCCTATACAGCCATATTTACTGAGATACAGCCACCTCAAATATCAAACCTATCATCGTGTTTTCTCAACAAATTACTAAGGAAAATCAATTGTAAAAAATGTAATAATGATCAAAATGAGCTAAATAATAAATGGATAATCAAAATAACATTATATCTATATTCCTCATGTATTTAGAGACTACTATGCATGGTGCGTATATGGGCATATGTATGCTACTTATATAGGCATTTGTATGGTACTTATATTGGCATATGAATGGTACTTATATGGGCAAGTATGGTACTTATAAGGGCATATGTATGGTAGTTAAAAGGATATATGTATGATAGATATAAAAACATATATATTGTTCTTATAAGGGCATAAGTATGGTACGTTTTTGGGCATATGTATGTTGCTTATAAGAACTTTTGTATGGTACCTCAATGGGCATATATATTGTTCTTATATGGGCATATGTATGACACTTATATGGGCATGAGTATGGTACATATATGGATATGTATTTGGTACTTATGTACATACGTACCTCTATGATACTTTAGTACCTTTTACCTTAGACAGACAGTCATCCTTATTTTATAGATATAGAAGATAGGCAATGATTAAATCAAGTAATAAAAACTTGACCAGCGGACGAATACAAAGATGGGGTACATACAGCCCGCCGCCTGCAAAGAATCCCAGCCCTGGCGAAATCGTCATTTTTCACAAAACTCAAAATCAAAACCAGCCATAGAATCGTTTTGAAAATGGTACCATTGTGTTTACCACAGCAATTTACATTTCTTTCTGTTAAGTCTTTCTTTGCTAATTTTAAATATTAACGCCTATACAGCCATATTTACTGAGATACAGCCACCTCAAATATCAAACCTATCATCGTGTTTTCTCAACAAATTACTAAGGAAAATCAATTGTAAAAAATGTAATAATGATCAAATTGAGCTAAACAATAAATGGATAATCAAAATAACATTATATCTATATTCCTCATATACTTAGAGACAACTATGCATGGTGCGTATATGGGCATATGTATGCTACTTATATAGGCATATGTATGGTACTTATATTGGCATATGAATGGTACTTATATGGGCAAGTATGGTACTTATAAGGGCATATGTATGGTAATTAAAAGGATATATGTATGATAGATATAAAAACATATATATTGTTCTTATAAGGGCATAAGTATGGTACGTATTTTGGCATATGTATGTTACTTATAAGAGTTTTTGTATGGTACCTCAATGGGCATATGTATTGTTCTTATATGGGATATATATGTATAAATGACGTCAGCCACTAGTTAGCCTATCCAGGGCCTCTTCTAGGCCAGTAGGTCGAGGATTCATCAAGTATTTAATGACCACATATATATGTTTTGCCAACATGCATGAGCGGAAACGTAGTCACATGTAACTTATTTATACAACACTTGTTTCCAGATATAAAATTGTAAATTATAACTTCAAGGGAATTCTCTTATATAAACAAAAAAAAAAAGAAACCATAACTCCCCCCCCCCATCACCACCAAAAATAAAACGATCAATACGGTAGAAATACCTTTATTAATATATATATATATATATATATTTATATAATAAAAATACAAAAAACACCATTATGAATACAGAATATACAAAATGGCACAGACAGACATATACACACTCAATGGTGAGGGAATCCCCCCCCCCCCAAAAAAAAACATACTTTCTAATAATACTTTCCATTTGTCACTTCTCAAAACGTTATTACATAAAATGGGTCCCTTGCATTTATTATCTAATTGAAGTAAAAACAAACAAACAAATGGTATGCATAAAAAAAAATTGAAAACACACTTTTACGTTTTCAATATTATGTACACACGAAGACAGAGCTATTCCATCCCTTTGTGTGTATTTTACATCAATAAACTTATTTCAATTTCAATTTCAAAGACAAGAGCAGCGAGTGAAGGGTTTGATGAGGTGCTCTTGAGCGGTTAAGCACGGCGGACTCTGCCATCTGATTGGCTGAGGGAGACCGTTCCCGACGCTCCGAGGGCGTCCTTTGTTAAGGAATCATCGTATGTGAAGCTGTGGATTTATGCTGAAGTGTGACAGATTTAGTTACAAAATCAGAGGCGTCTGACAGCTTCACACACCCACTAGAGGCGTGAGACAGCTTCACACACCCACTAGAGGCGTGAGACAGCTTCACACACCCACTAGAGGCGTGAGACAGCTTCACACACCCACCAGTGGCGTCTGACAGCTTCACATACCCACTAGAGGCGTGAGACAGCTTCACACACCCACCAGAAGCGTCTGACAGCTTCCCACACCCACTAGAGACATGTGACAGCTTCACATACATCCACCAATGACGTTAGACAGCTTCACACACACCCACCCGAGTCGTCTTACAGCTTCAGACTCACTACTCAGGTCATCATGGCTTCTTCTCTATCCTGCAGAGACTATCCACCAGTGAATTGATCATGGCTAAACACTTATTTTCTTGTTCAAAGACATGTCAAAGATAGTCTTTGAACATGACAAAGACTATCACAAGAAATAGCTCGATACTTTGTTTACATTTGATTTTTACATTTTACAACGATCATGAAAACACTGATCCAAATATGCGGGAAAAAGACACATTGAAAAATTAGAGAATGCTGAACGCGTTTTCGGCTAGTCCGGCCTTCTTCAGAGCAAGATAGAGATCACATAATCTTGCTCTGATGACGGGCTAACTGGCCGAAAACGCGTTCAGGATTCTCTAATTTTTCAATGTGTCTTTTCCGCACACACACATATATTTATTTATTTATTTATTTATGCATATACAAGAATGTACATAAGGAATGTGAGGATACAAATATGGTAATTACAGTCTTGTAAAGCCACTAGCACGCGCTTATATATGTATATATATGTATATATATACATATGTATATATGTATTTATATATATTTATATATAAAATATATATAAATACGTATATGTATGTATATATGTATATATGTATTTATATATAAAATAATACTAATAATAATAATTAGAAAGGTGAAAACTAAACTGAAGAATAACATCCCCAAAGATCACATTAAAGCTATGGAATGATGAATAAATATGACACATGTATAAATAACAAAAAAACAAGAGTGAACAGAATGAAAAGATGAATGAATCTAAAACCATTAAATTAACGATAATTAAAGAGTGTACAATTGTGAATAACTGAGATTTCTAAGTACATTAAAACATTCCTGTACATTATGTACAGGACTCCCACATACATAATAGTACAGTACAAGTACATAACAGTACAGATGACAGGCTCGATGTAATTTCTTATTTACAAAAAAAAAAATTGAGTGCTTAGAAGCATTTATTAAATTTACACCTTTAAGTACCAAAATCAGCCACCACTGTATTATTTTAAATCCTGTATTTTTAAATACAAATTATTAATGTTTTCATTATTACTAACCAAGAAATTTTGTAACGAAATACAGGTATTATATTCCTAAGAATGTTGCATAGACCGCCATATGTTTCATTTTGAAGAACAGCTATATGATGAATGTACCTGTAGGTCAGGTATTGTAGTTTCTCTATCCCCCAGCGCTTAGAGTTCGCATATTCACTCAGAATATGCTTAAAAACGCTATAGTGAACACACTCATTATTCTCTCGGGAGATAATTTGAATAATTTCCTCTTTAAGCACTATAGTCAAAAAGTACTACATATACGCTCTGATCTCTTATATTTACTGTATATGTAGATAATAACATTTATACAGTTTTACTATGTACAAACACATTTTTTTTCATTTAAATTATTATTGTTTAATTTGTTGATTATAAAACAGTTAACTTTTCCAAGGTTTAGTGGTTTTTTGTACTTGTGGCTGTGAGACCCTCGTAAGATGCACTCACGTTCCTCAAGACAGTGAGGAGTTGTGGCTGTGAGACCCTCGTAAGATGCACTCACGTTCCTCAAGACAGTGAGGAGTTGTGGCTGTGAGACCCTCGTAAGATGCACTCACGTTCCTCAAGACAGTGAGGAGTTGTGGCTGTGAGACCCTCGTAAGATGCACTCACGTTCCTCAAGACAGTGAGGAGTTGTGGCTGTGAGACCCTCGTAAGATGCACTCACGTTCCTCAAGACAGTGAGGAGTTGTGGCTGTGAGACCCTCGTAAGATGCACTCACGTTCCTCAAGACAGTGAGGAGTTGTGGCTGTGAGACCCTCGTAAGATGCACTCACGTTCCTCAAGACAGTGAGGAGTTGTGGCTGTGAGACCCTCGTAAGATGCACTCACGTTCCTCAAGACAGTGAGGAGTTGTGGCTGTGAGACCCTCGTAAGATGCACTCACGTTCCTCAAGACAGTGAGGAGTTGTGGCTGTGAGACCCTCGTAAGATGCACTCACGTTCCTCAAGACAGTGAGGAGTTGTGGCTGTGAGACCCTCGTAAGATGCACTCACGTTCCTCAAGACAGTGAGGAGTTGTGGCTGTGAGACCCTCGTAAGATGCACTCACGTTCCTCAAGACAGTGAGGAGTTGTGGCTGTGAGACCCTCGTAAGATGCACTCACGTTCCTCAAGACAGTGAGGAGTTGTGGCTGTGAGACCCTCGTAAGATGCACTCACGTTCCTCAAGACAGTGAGGAGTTGTGGCTGTGAGACCCTCGTAAGATGCACTCACGTTCCTCAAGACAGTGAGGAGTTGTGGCTGTGAGACCCTCGTAAGATGCACTCACGTTCCTCAAGACAGTGAGGAGTTATGACTATTACAAAAAAGGTAATTAAACAGCCCTTTAAGAATTGCAAGTCAGTAATTATCATATTCTAATGTCATTACTTATTGACGATAAGTACTTTTTTAACCATTATTTCAACACAAAATATTAATCTACTTTGGAACGAAATCTCGAAAAATGTATATGTTTTTGTCATCTAATACGTCGTATTATTTTTGTTAACAAAATCGACGTTTTCTATATGCATCGGCCGCCATAGCTTAGGTTGGGTTGCTTGGGTTCTTTCGTTTCTGATTAGGCCCAATAATTACCTTTCTTTTACGGTGTGGCAAATATGGCGGGAACTGGCTCAGTGGGGCGGGAACTGGGGGCCCGCTCACGTATTCCTATCAGTATCTGACAGCCACACAGCCTCAAATATGCCATTACATCATTCCCACTAAAAATCTATTACAGATAAAACATTTTGAAACCGAATACGCTGTATATAAAACATATATGTATATGCGTATGTTGTTATATACAGGAGGTTAGTATAATACATAAGTGTTAGAAGGAGCATATGCTTGTAATTTACATTTGCAGTGTGGGGCGTCCTTCTGGGCCAATCACAACGCATTATGGTACAGGGGTTTATGTACACTGTACAAGGGGGGGGGCGGAGGGGTGGTGCACGGGGTAATTGCCCCCTGTGGGATAAAGATTGTGGTGGTTACCCCTTTGGGACTGAGCTTGTGGGGATGAGGGTGATTAAGGGCGATTAGTGGTACAGACTCACAGTGGTGATTGGGTGCTGCATGACTCTCCGTGAGGGTGGGAAGAGAAGCTTCGTCTCGTCGTAGCTCAATAATGCTAGTGAGAGACCTTTGTAACATGTTTCATTCACTGGACACTGTGGCGGCAAATACCAATTTAAGATGATAACTATTATCTCAAGATGCAACTGTTTCAATGTGCACTCGCCAGAGACACTCGGGACAGTTGGGAGGGTGTGTGGGCGGCCGTGCCAAGTGGAATTGTGACGCGAATAAGGCGGGTTATTATAAGAGAAAAGGGGAAGGGATGTCAGTGCCAAGATTGGTACCTTGATCCTCACCCACGCACCCCCCCTCAGCCGTCTAAGTGACCACAACGCCCTTCTGAACACAGGGTCCCCCTCGGCCCTCGAGCAGCGCCGGCCACAGGTAGGTCTTGATGCCGTCGCTCTCGGGGTCGGCGGTATGGAAGCGGACGTGGTATTCCTTCCTGTAGGTGCGGGTCTCGTAGTCTATGAGGTAGGGCGGCGTCTGGTTGTTGAGGCCCCACGCCAGGCGCACGCAGTCCTTGATGTACTGCAGGAGGCCCTCGCACGTCTTGAGGGCCGGGTAGTCGTACAGAGTAGCCCAGATTTGCTGACACACCTCCTGAAGGGCGGGAGAGAGATAAGAGATGGGCATATTATGGGTGGAAGAGATAAAGAGTCGGGAGGACAGGGAATGGGCGGGAGAATGAGGCGTTGGAAATACTCTTCAGGTTCTCGTTTTCTTTGTGTCTGTCTCTATTTGACCCTATACTCGTCTAAAGTCCATTACATCTCTTTTTCTGTTTTGCCTGTCGATATGTATATTACATGGATATATTGTGGCTCCAGGTATAGTACTTGCCTTACCTATAATGAAGATAAGTACACACACATACACTATTATAACTCTTGACGTTCACAGCAGCTTTACACAACAGTTCTAAAGACCATTCACACCTTGACTGACTCGCATTTGAACGTGTTCTATCAACAGATGTACGAAACCTAATCAACACAAAGACACAATCAAAACACTGGAATTTATAGAAACAAAAAGTACAAATACCATTGTTTTAAAATGTATAATATTAAATAATTTAAGCAAATGCCAATAACACCCCAAATAAGACTTGACTCACTTCCACGTTCTTGGTGAGGTCGTGTTTGTCAATGTTCGCTGTGACGAAGGCGGAGACGCCGAGCTCGAGGGCATGGGCATGCTCGTCATAGGCGAGGTGATCGTGGTGGGCCTCGCCTGCGGGTAGAGGGGGAGGTGGGGGTATCTGGAGCACCCGGCGGACCTCCTCCCGCAGTGCCTGAGCCGAAGTCGACGCCGAACGGAAGGCCAGCTGGCGACGCGAGGAGAGAGCAGACGGCCACAATGAGTGTTTGGATTTGTCAGGGATATAAGGATAAGTTGTATTATATTGCATATCATTTTACAGTGTCTTTAGCAGGTCAATATGGTCATTTAGGACTCAATTTTCTGTGTGTGTGTGTGTGTGTGTGTGTGTGTGTGTGTGTGTGTGTGTGTGTGTGTGTGTGTGTGTGTGTGTGTACTCGCCTAGTTGTGCTTGCGGGGGTTGAGCTCTGGCTCTTTGGTCCCGCCTCTCAACTGTCAATCAACTAGTGTACAGGTTCCTGAGCCTACTGGGCTCTATCATATCTACATTTAAAACTGTGTATGGAGTCTGCCTCCACCACATCACTGTGTGTGTGTGTGTGTGTGTGTGTGTGTGTGTGTGTGTGTGTGTGTGTGTGTGTGTGTGTGTGTGTGTGTGTGTGTGTGTGTGTGTGTGTCTTTATTTACACAAACATGCGTTTGTTTGTGTAAATGCCCTTCAACTTCTAGTGTGTGGTCTGGTCAACATACTTCAGCGACTGTTGGAGTGTTTTAGCAGTGTATTGCTAAGTGCCAAAAATGAAGCTCGTTGCCCCGCAAAAGAGTTATCGTTGCAAAAAGAAAGAAGTGCTTGGGGGACTCACCACCACTACGCTGAAGAGGAGCTTCGACTTGAGTTCTTCGGCGTTCCTGAGGTCTGGGAGGGCGTCGAGGGCGTCCAGGGTGTCCACTCTGGCCTGAGCGTAGAGGTTGCCGTAGCGACGCACGAGGGCCGAGGGTCGACGCTCTCCAAGGCTCAGGTTCTCCACGCGACCGTTGCCTCGTTCCACGCCTCTGGAGGCCCGGTCTCCAAGTCTGTGTGTACACATCTTCAGTTGGGAAGGTAGGGAGGGAATTATCAGGAGGGGGGGGGGACCGCCAAGACATTACGACTATGTAGCACTGGGAAGGGAAAGGGGGGTCAGGATATAAGGATTTGGGATGGCACAAGGGGGAAGGAATGGTGCTCAACCACTTGAACGGTCGGGGGATTGAACGCCGACCTGCATGAAGCGAAGCCGTCGCTCTACCGTCCACCCCTCCAAGTGGTTGGCCACTGAGAACATTATATCTTCACAGATCACGATATTCACACGTCGTAATATTCACCCGGCTTTAGTTAAGAGTTCTACCAATTTGCATACCTGTTAAGGGATCAAGCTGCTTGTGATGGCTTCTATCTTTGACTAGACCAATTACGAGGATAACTTTTGGGTCAATGTGAGGGTATCGAACCCGCGCACCCCGGGTCACCCTAGACATGAGGTCAAACCCATCGCATTGTGCCAAAAGATTTCCTCATAAATGTTGATTATGAGGTTTTTTAAAAGATTTTTAAAGATTTTTAAAGTTTTTTTTTTTAAGATTTCCTCATAAATGTTGATTATGAGGTTTTTTAAAGATTTTTAAAGATTTTTAAAGTTTTTTTTAAAGATTTTTAAAGATTTTTAAAGTTTTTTTTAAAGATTTCCTCATAAATGTTGATTATGAGAACATTGTGAGTTCACTCTACCTAGACAAACTACCACACTAGACTGTAAAAACTATACCATATCATAATTCTTCAACAATTTCTATTAAACGAAACATTACGCACGAAACATGCGCCTTGGAGAGAGGGGGACTTGCTGCATGGGTAACAGCTTCTCCCCCCCGAATCAACCTACCCTGGCATTGCGCCCTGGTGAGGCCACTCCAGACCGACAACCAGAGCGCAACTCCATAGTCTCCTGAGACTGTTGGATGCCTACTACGCTGAAAGATCAAACTGCTTCGTAATTGTAAACTCTAAAGTTAGTAATCACTGGTGGCTGTACCTATTGTCTCTGTGTGTGTGTGCTAGAGTGACACAGACGCCGCTCTTAACACACAATGCATCTCCCTGTGTTCTTGGAAACTCCTTTGACGTCTTCTGAGTAATTATCTTTCTTGGATGTTGTCATCTGCGTCCACTTGCATTACCACCTCTATAACATGCAAACCCACTAACTACCACTAACTACCTGTTCTCTGTACACCTGAAGACGTTCTCACCTGTTCTCTGTACACCTGAAGACGTTCTCACCTGTTCTCTGTACACCTGAAGACGTTCTCACCCGTTCTCTGTACACCTGAAGACGTTCTCAACTATTCTCTGTACACCTGAAGACGTTTTATCTTCCCATGACTATTGACTACTGATATCCCGCCTGTAAAGCCTTATCTCCCACCTTGCTTATTCACGCAGCTAAAATATGCGTGCATTACTCCAATGAAAGGGCTTTACACTATCTTATTCTTCATTTGTACTACAACTACCGTGAATTTCCAGTCAATTTTCCCTAAAGTATTTCATCACCGAGTATTCAAAAATCATCTATGGTCAAGTATCGACATCTCCTCCTCTTCCATCCTTCTCCTCTTCCTCTTCCTACCTCTTCCCGTTCCTCCTCTTCCCTCCTCTGGCTAAAGCCTTACCAAGTCTATTCAAAAGGACCTTCGCTGTAATCTACTACATACAAACACACGCATATCGCCTGTCCTCTTTCAGCGCGAAGATACAGACCTCTCCTTCAACCTCTTCTCCCTCTCCTGCATGTGTAGGATGGTCTGCCTGGCCTTGGTCACCTCCGCCCGGAGGGTCTCCACCTCCTGACGCAGGGCAGCAGACTCGCGGGCTCCTGTAGACGGCGTAGGGAAGTTAGTAATTACCTAAGGAAAGTGCCAAGCCTGGAACAGTAGTATTCAGGTGGTGGTGACTTGGCCGTCCGCAGGCTTGGAGAGATTGGGGTCAGCGCCCTTAGGAGAAACAAAGTGCAAATATTGTGGCCGGCCAAATGAACAGTTTTCTAAAGCAGCAATACTTAACTCGGCCCAGCAAGCTAAGGAAACACAGAAGAATAAGACTATCATTAGGAGACACAGCCAAGAGCTCTGGACCCAGATTCACGAAGCAGTTACGCAAGTACTTACGAACGTGTACATCTTTCCTCAATCTCTGACGGCTTTGGTTACGTTTATTAAACAGTTTACAAGCATGAAAACTTGCCAATCAACTGTTGTTATTGTTATAAACAGCCTCCTGGTGCTTCGGAGCTCATTAACTGTTTAATAATGGTAAACAAAGCCGCCAAAGATTGAGAAAAGATGGACAGGTTCGCAAGTACTTGCGTAACTGCTTCGTGAATCTGGCCCCAGATGTTCACAACTTAACGCTAATATCACTAATCCCCGTCACGTAAATGCCACAAATAGCTTAGATATCTCTGACTAAACACCTTTTGAATACAAATCCTGTGTTTATGTACATATGAGGTAGAGGAAACTCCCCAAAAAAAACGAAACACTGACCTGGGGCAACTGGCAGCTCGTGGCCCTTCCCGCACCGGACACCCGACGCCACTCCTGACGACGACGACGATGACGACGCAGACGCACAGGACGACGCACACGACGCCTCGCCGCTTTTCCTGGAGCCCTCTGGCGTGGGGGAGTCACTCTTGGGGTCCCCGACCCCGCTCCCTTGGCTCTGGGTGTCTGAGGACCTGAGGGGGAGGGAGGGAGGGAGAGAGGAGGAGACTGTCAGACGGGGAAATGGGGGGAAGGGGGTTCAGGGGGGAAGGGGAAATGGGACTCGAAGAGATGTAGGAAGGGGGAAGGGAAGGGAAGGGAACTATCAAGATAAAACACCAAGCCATTACAACTATATAGCACTGGGAACAGGTCAGGATCAAGATTTGGGATGGGACGGGGGAAAGGAATGATCCCTAACCACTTGGACGGTCGGGGATTGAACCCCGACCTGCATGACGCGAGACCGTTTCTCTACCGTCCAGCCCAAGTGGCTGGGTGGGGAGGAAGTTCGAACGAGGGTAGAGGAAGGGTGTTGAAGGGACGGAGTAAGCGAGTTCGAAGAAAATGGGGAGTTCGAAGGTCATTGGTCGGTGTCAGCGTCGCAGGGAATGGGTTCGAGGTGGTGGCATCAAAACACAGTGATAACACGAACTTATTTAACTTCAACATACGCCATGATTTATGCGCATTAATTAGATCACAAACATGCACAAAGAAATCATCTTAATGTAATGTACCAGTGAGAACATGAGTAGGAGCTCTGAGGAGAGAGGAGAAGGAGGAGTCGAACCCACACACACACACACCGGGTACTCCCAAGTCTAAGGTCTGAGAGGCCTGTGTCTGAAAGCACCCCCCCCCCCCCCGTGTGTGTGTGTGTGTGTGTGTGTGTGTGTGTGTGTGTGTGTGTGTGTGTGTGTGTGTGTGTGTGTGTGTGTGTGTGTGTGAGTGTGTAATTACCTAAGTGTAGTTACAGGATGAGAGCTACGCTCGTGGTGTCCCGTCTTCCCAGCACTCTTTGTCATATAACGTGTGTGTGTGTGTGTGCAGGTTCCAATCCTCCTCATAGATCCTACCGGCTCTCTCAGATCACAAACATTCTTGCCGACAGGTCGAGAAAAAGTTGCAGTGAGTGGAAGACTCATGTGTGTGTGTGTGTGTGTGTGTGTGTGTGTGTGTGTGTGTGTGTGTGTAGCATATGTGTGGTGTCAGATGTTTGGCAGTTGTTGAATCAGCCGGTCCACAGCCTAGACTCGTCTTAGTGACCACATCAGCGTCAAAACACAAGTGTAATAGACTGTTGTAGACGTGGATAGACTAAGACAGATTTCAAAATAAAAAATTCGCAACAGAAAGAGACAGTGGGAGCAAGAGGGAAGAAAGACGGTACAGGAGAGTGAAATGGGGAAACAAAAAACATTGACAGGTAAAGAGACGAGCAAAAAGCATGAAATGTGCAGGCGATGAGTCACAATAACGTGGCTGAAGTATGTTGACCAGACCACACACTAGAAATTGAAGGGACGACGACGTTTCGGTCCGTCCTGGACCATTCTCAAGTCGATTGTGAATGGTCCAGGACGGACCGAAACGTCGTCGTCCCTTCAATTTCTAGTGTGTGGTCTGGTCAAAAAGCATGAAATGTATCTGTATAATAAGATTAAGGAGGAGAAATAAATTCCAAGATGCCTTACCCGGTGGAGACGCGAGAGGAGGCGGAGACATGGCATGCGGTAGTGAAGGGCAGGGAACTCCTCTGTCCCACACGCGCCCTGTCCCGTACTGTGGGAGAGACAAGAGGTTAGGGAAGGGATGGATTGATTGATTGATGATTGATGAAGATTAAGCCACCCAAGAGGTGGCACGGGCATGAATAGCCCGTATGTGGTGGCCCTTTCGAGCCATTACCAGTATCAAAAGATGATACTGGAGATCTGTGGAGGCGCAACTGCACCCTGCGTGACGGGAGATGTCTCCCGGACCAAATGGTGACCAAATGGTGACCAAATGGTGGAAGGGATGGTTGTGGAAGGGGTTTATGACGTCGGTGGGTGTGAGGGGGAAAGATAGGGTGATGTTGGGTGAAGGTGGGTGATATCTCACCCTTCTACGCTCTTAAGATATCCTCTAAGACACGCTCTACAAAGACTCAACCTCTCCAGGTTTTAGCAGAGACCAAAAAAAGGGGGGAGACATGATTACAAAGTCCCAGATATCTCAGGGAACTGACAGAGCCAGAAACCAAGGTTTAACATAAGAAATGTATGGAAGTTAGAGGCACAGAATGAGCCAGAGAGATGTCAAGAACCGGTTCCTTAACGCAAGAGTCACAGGTAATTGCTAAGGAACCGCCACAAGAAGAGATGAATTCTTTTCATCATCTTCATCTCAGGTGATGAGGCTTCAAGAGGGACACACGATACGAGAATTCAAAAGTCCGTGAATTAACTGATCGCAAGCTGGAGAGGCAGGGGCGAGGAGCTAAAGCTCAACCCTACAAGCACAAGGGGTGAGAACATCTATAAACGAATCAAATACTCCATAGCAGCAGGATCTATAAACGCCTGGACCGTCGTCAACATCATGACGTCAAATAAAAAACAAAATTTGATCTCTTTATTTCCCTTATAGCTTGGGTCGAGTTAGGGCAGCGATGACGTAGTCACGTGCACACTTTCCTCAGGTCTTAGACCCTAATGGCATGATGTACCTGGTTTAACGGGCCTGGTCAAGACCCTTGTAGTCTTCTGGCCATTCAAGACGTCGTCGTTGTGAGTTATGGCATTATCATCTACTTCCTTTCTCTTCTCTTTATCATCTACTTCCTTCCTCTTCTCTATATCCTCGTCTCCTGCTCCTTCTTCACCGGCCTCTTCCTTCACACTGCGTCCATCTACGACCGAGGTTCCCTTGCCATTTCTCCATCCTTTCTTATCGCAGGCATCTTGAGGGCAGAGGGGCTCCCGGCGGAGGAGGTCTGAGGGTATGTCGGAGAGGGAGACGGAGAACTTGGAGAGGAAGGTTGAGGGGGAAGATGAGGGGGAGAGAGGGGAGAGAGGCGGTCTCCGTCGACGAGGGGAAAACACGGCCAGTTGTCGACTGAACATGACTGTCTTGATGAAAATTTTAGCCACCCAAGAGGTGGCACGGGCATGAATAACCCCGTAAGAGGTAGACAGTCTTAATATTTTTTTCTTCACTTTTTTTATAGCACTGGTGAGACGATGGTTTGTTTGAGGACGTCTTCCCTACCCCTCCCTGGCACTATATGGCACTATTGCACCCGTTGTTTACATAATAGTGGCACTTGGGAGCCGGTCGGCCGAGCGGACAGCACGCTGGACTTGTGATCCTGTGGTCCTGGGTTCGATCCCAGGCGCCGGCGAGAAACAATGGGCAGAGTTTCTTTCATCCTATGCCCCTGTTACCTAGCAGTAAAATAGGTACCTGGGTGTTAGTCAGCTGTCACGGGCTGCTTCCTGGGGGTGGAGGCCTGGTCGAGGACCGGGCCGCGGGGACACTAAAAAGCCCCGAAATCATCTCAAGATAACCTCAAGACTGTTGCTGCTGGTGGAGTCGAGGAGAGAGAGTACATCTGTGTTTAAGGCTTCGAGTGTGTTATCTTGCTCTCTGTTATCTTGCTCTCTGTTATCCTGCTCTCTGTTATCCTGCTCTGTTATCCTGCTCTCTGTTATCCTGCTCTGTTATCTTGCTCTCTGTTATCTTGCTCTCTGTTATCCTGCTCTCTGTTATCCTGCTCTGTTATCTTGCTCTGTTATCCTGCTCTCTGTTATCCTGCTCTGTTATCTTGCTCTCTGCTATCTTGCTCTCTGTTATCTTGCTCACCCACCAGCCTATAGTGGCCTGCACAGGCCCTGTCCACCTCGTGTGTATCAATGACAGTAGTAGTGCACAGTAATCATGACCAAAACCAGCAACACCACCACGCACAGGGTGCTCAGGAGCACAATACACAATACGCACACGAAGTTGTAATCTGCACGCACCGTCCCCATCATTCTAACACCGTGCGTTACCCCCTAGCCATCACTGTGCGCGCTGTAGCAGAAGCGTTCACAGTAGCAGTGTAACCACAGGCTTTGTGGGTGGGTGGTTGCACCACCCTTGAGCACAGCACAGGTAAGCGACGCGCAGGCAAGACTGCTATTTCCTTCCGACTTGAAGTGACTGGAATTGCACTTGAAAGTAATATATATCCCTCCTGAGGTGCTTACACACACCCCCCCCCCTCTAGGTCAAGACTGGAGGTGTTATGTGGTCTTTGCCATGTGTTGGGTGGTCTCTGTAGCTCGTATGACGATCACTTTTGTGGTTACGACAGGCTGAGGACTCGAGGCACAGTGCCAGCCATTACACCGACCAGTTATACACCAAACATCTGACTACTTGGCATTGAGTGCCATGTAAATATATACATGAACCCACCCCCCCTGTGTGTGGCACTTGTTTTGTATTACCTACACTATTAAATTGACTGTGTATATGTAAACACAAGTACGCGTGTATATATATGTATATGAATATACATCATGTATGGAGATGTATACGTATATATGGTTGAAAGTGTATTTTAATGCTGTGAAAGAAGCAAATAATGAAAGCAAGGACCTGAGAGGTGAAATTCAATCAGGGGGGCGTGTGGCGGGAGCCCCCCCCCCCAAGCCTCCCCCACACACACAGCCAAGCCCCAACCCGTCATACACCTATATACACCACACACACACATACACACACACATATTATATATATATATCCCCTTACAATATACACAGTACAGATATCTGCTGGAGGAATATATATTAATGGTTATATTATCTAGTATTCCTGATAAATGCAGTCCCTGGTGGCGTAGTGGCCACACACACACACACACACACACACACACACACACACACACGAGGGGGCCTCGTAGCCTGGTGGATAGCGCGCAGGACTCGTAATTCTGTGGCGCGGGTTCGATTCCCGCACGAGGCAGAAACAAATGGGCAAAGTTTCTTTCACCCTAAGTGCCCCTGTTACCTAGCAGTAAATAGGTACCTGGGAGTTAGTCAGCTGTCACGGGCTGCTTCCTGGGGGTGTGTGTGTGGTGTGGGGAAAAAAATAGTAGTTAGTAAGCAGTTGATTGACAGTTGAGAGGCGGGCCGAAAGAGCAAAGCTCAACCCCCGCAAAAACACAACTAGTAAACACAACTAGTAAACACACACACACACACACTCGCCTCGCCACAGATTGGATATGGGTTCGAGTCCTGGGGCCAGTTATAGGATTGGTTTGGGCGCCAATCCTCTAACTGATCGCCGACTGTTTGCCTAACAGTAATTGCTTCTGAACCGACTCGGTTCCTGTTACCTTGAGTTATAGGAAGGTGGGGGGGGGGGGGGGAGGGAGAACCGTTTATAGCCTGTTAACAGGAGTCAGAAGTCGTGGCGTGCTCCTATATACCCCCCCCCCCCCCTACCAATCAGACGAGAGAGAGAGATCTTCATGAGGTTATCTTGAGATGATTTCGGGGCTTTAGTGTCCCCGCGGCCCGGTCCTCGACCAGGCCTCCACCCCCAGGAAGCAGCCCGTGACAGCTGACTAACTCCCAGGTACCTATTTACTGCTAGGTAACAGGGGCATTCCGGGTGAAAGAAACTTTGCCCATTTGTTTCTGCCTCGTGCGGGAATCGAACCCGCGCCACAGAATTACGAGTCCTGCGCGCTATCCACCAGGCTACGAGGCCCTACAGAGATGGAGGAAATCAGATAGAGATGGAAGCGACCAGCCTGCCAGTGGCGCCATCTCCGGCGTGTGTGATTACCCCGCGCCGACCTAGTGGTCTTCGTTTTTACACTGCACCTCCGGTAAGTGGAAATGTTGTGGATGGGCCGGTCCCCCACACGCGATGGTGGGGGGGGGGGGGGTGCAGGAGGGCGGGTGGGGCGGGGGCAGTGGGGGGGGGGGAGGAGTGTGACGAAGGGTGGGGTGGGAGGGATAGGAATGAAGGGATGGGAAGGATGGGGACCTTATTGCGTCCCTATTGGTTGCTTATGGGGGTGCCTATAGGGGGGGGGGTTATGGGGTTACTGAAGGGGGGGGAGGCCTGTGGGGTACTTCAGTGTCGGCGTTATCTATATAATGGATCCTGTAGCATAGTAGCCTACGTCCTAAACTTTTAAGCGAGAGACCCGGGTTCAATCCTCAGGTAAGACAGAAACGGGTTCATTTTCGCTCCCATGCCTCTGTTCACCTAGCAGTAAATAGCTACTCGAGAGTTACAGGCGACGGTTGTGGGGTTGTCTCCTGGAGAAAAAGAGGATTAGCTGGCCTATGGCTCTATGCTAGGGAGAGACAGAGGTAGGGACTAATTCCTATCCCCAACAATGGGAATTAAATGAAACCCGGCAAAAGATTGAGGCAGACTTCCTACACCAGTCGCCGGGGTTGTGAGAGGCGGGGCTAGAGAGCTAGAGCACGTCCAGAGTGACACACACACACACACACACACACACACACACACACACACACACACACACACACACACACACACACACACACACACACACACACAGCCGCCGAGAGAGGCTACAGGCACATAATGTATTTATAAATGGCACCCAATGTTTTTGTTTTGGGGCTAAATAATTGACATTTAGCGTTTGTTGTTGTCCTGTTTTCCTAGTGAGGGAGAACCGTGCCCACTCGCATACCCTCCGTCACTATGTGAAGGAGTGCGAAAATATATATATATATATATATATATATATATATATATATATATATATATATATATATATATATATATATATATATATATATATATATATGTGTGTGTGTGAATTTAGAGACAGTTCCATAGCAAGTGTTCAAGAAATATGTCAAAGATTTTTCATTCAAAATGACGTACAACCAGAAATGTTAAGCAAATACTGCCAGTTTGCTATCTGTAGGTGGTAAATGTGGGTGATTGTAACCTTTCTAATCACCAGGATGGGGTATGGGGTGCATAATAAACAAACAGGGGGTTACAGGGGCCCACCATACCCATCCTGTGGGCGGTGGTGGGTTAATCTAACTAACGGAATGAATTGCTAACGCTCGCCGCCCACCACAGAAAACGTTCTCCCATCAGCACTAGCCGAGGGGATGACTATGTCATTTGGCCTAAAAATCCAGCCGCTAAGACTAGCGACTGGATTGTCAGATTCACTTCCTCACTGTTGGGGACAGGAAGCCTGTCGATATTATCGAGGCTGCTCACCTAGGCCTCCCCCCTAGAATGCCACCCACAACAGTTGCCTCACCCAGGCACTTATTTTCAGCTAGGCAAACAGTAGCACCCAAATACAGTTGAAGTGGACAGTCGAATTCCTTCTCGACTCACAATCAGGAATCCCGGGTTCGAGTCCCGTTGTGGGGTTTACATCTGGAGGTGGTTTACCAGTTCCACCTTGAGGGGGGGGGAGGGGGGGACCTCGCTATAAGCCTAACATATATAAAATTGAAACAACTAGAGACCCCTAGAGCTGCCAGTTTCCTCTTGCAGCGCCTTGATGTGGCGATCCAGAGAGGAAATGCTCACTGCATCCATGGTTCCTGCCCGCCATCTGAGGAGCTGGAGGAGCTCTACAACTTGTGACAAGTAGCCTTGTGCATGTAACCAATGTTGTAACCCTTTTTGTGTAATGAAATTTTAAATAGAGTAATATATATATATATATATATATATATATATATATATATATATATATATATATATATTATATACACACACATACTAAAAGAATAGGTGTGGTAGGAGAAGACAATATCAAAGTGTTCAGTGAGGATCCACAAGGTCTTAGCTGAGTACTCTTTATTTTCTTCTCCGAGGCTATGGGTCCCTACATTTGCACCAGAGTTGGTGCCCCTTTTAGGTTTATTTAATATATATATTATATATATATTATATAACAAAACAAAAGTACTCATCCTGTGGGTGGTGGTGGGTTACAAGGGCCCACCATACCCATCCTGTGGGTGGTGGTGGGTTACAGGGGCCCACCATACCCATCCTGTGGGTGGTGGTGGGTTACAAGGGCCCACCATACCCATCCTGTGGGTGGTGGTGGGTTACAGGGGCCCACCATACCCATCCTGTGGGTGGTGGTGGGTTACAGGGGCCCACCATACCCATCCTGTGGGTGGTGGTGGGTTACAGGGGCCCACCATACCCATCCTGTGGGTGGTGGTGGGTTACAGGGGCCCACCATACCCATCCTGTGGGCGGTGGTGGGTTACAAGGGCCCACCATACCCATCCTGTGGGTGGTGGTGGGTTACAGGGGCCCACCATACCCATCCTGTGGGCGGTGGTGGGTTACAAGGGCCCACCATACCCATCCTGTGGGCGGTGGTGGGTTACAAG